GAGAGAGAGAGAGAGAGAGAGAGAGAAATAGAGAGAGTAATGGGACGAGGAAAGGAGGGTGGAGAGAAAGAGCACAAGTTCCAGACAATGAGAAAGTGTGAGGGAGGGGGGGTGGCGAAAGTCAGAGGCAGATCTGTAAACAGATTAATAGTTACACCAAGTTACACCTACCTGATAAAACAAAGGAATGAAGTGTAAGTACTATTGCCTATAGTTGCCTGATGTCCTTTTTCCCAGTGGGTGTGAAAATCGAATGTATTTGTGAGAATCCAAGACTTTCTTTTGAAAATAGCCGTGGTTTGGAAATAGGATACAATGTTTTAGCCTTTCCATGGAATGGGCCGTGCTGAAGATAGCAGTGAAGGAGGAAATGAAAGTTTATTATTGAGAATTGATTGTTGAGCAGCGTTACGATTTTCTTCTTATCAAAGTTTGCGATAAGACGTGTAAGATAAATGTCCAGTCCAAAAAATTGTAATTGCGTTACTTCGTTCCAAAAAAAAGTTACAAACAATAAAACAACAACAAGAACAACAAGAACAACTACGACGCAATAAAATTCGTGTTTTCTACTTCTTGAAAGTGTTCATGTGATGTTGAAAGCAAAAATGTACCTCATTGCAGTGAAATCAAAGGCTTACCAACTTTTTTTTTTTTTAATGTAGCATATTATGGAGTTAATGGTTTCACCTTAAAGCTGGTTCATTTGTCTTGCTTTTGATTAACCAAAAATGTACAAATATGTCTGTCTTGAATAGAAGCTAACATATCAGCGACTGAACGAGGTTGAAGTCACTTGGTGTCAGAATTAAAATTAGCGAGAAAAATTAAATGCTGCCAAAGCTTGAGTTTTTCTTGAGACAACGAATTCTCATTCTTGTGCCGATGGGGGCCTTTTTTTCCCCAGTAAAATTATCACGGAAATTAAATGTGTTTTGAAATGGACGTAAAAGATGTTTAAAAGGGGGGGGGGTCGTGACAAAAAAAATTGTTCAAAGGGTGGGAAAAACATTGGGGGTTTTTTGTTTTCGATTTGATTATTTTGACGAACACCTGGTTTCACTATGATGCCCCATAAGTACACTGTTTTAGATAAATCTACAGTTGTTGTTTTTTACATTGCACTTGTACTCTTATTCATGCTCCTCTGAGAAAATAACCCCCCCCCAAAAAAAAAAACCCAAAAAACAACAACAAAAATAAATAGAAAAGTAAAACAAAAACAACAAGCGAGGAGAGATAGAATCTCGCATGCATTCTGTCAGGAAATGGATATGGATATGACGTATGGGAAATACTAATAGTGTGACAAGGGTTACACTTGATTGGAGCAACTTTGTGCTCTTCCACTCGTACTGAAGCAGACTCTCTCCCTTTCTCTCCCCCCCCCCACCCC